ATTTTTTTTTTTAGATTAATAGACTCCCCTTTTAAAGCTGAATTGAATGGTGGTAAGTTTTTTAAAATCCAATGTGTAGATCACATAATATTTCAAAAATTTTAACTTTTGAGTATAGATGATCTGCACTGTAGTCTGTACGCATTGATCAAATAACAAACTTCTTTTTATTTTTTCCTCTCAAAAAATGTCATCAAAAAAATACACGAAAAAAAGAAAAAATGATGATACTCGAGCAAGTGTTTTAAGAATGGTGGTGGTGGTTATCACCCACCACTTGTCGTTACTCTAGTTAGTATAGAAAATGGTATAAGAGTACTTCAATAAATTAATATGATGCATAAAAAAATTTTTTTATCCTTATATTAAATTAATGTTTGCAATACTAAACTATTTTCTACTATCATTCTTTTTGAAAATAGAAGATGAAGAAGATCGTGGCACTGGAAAAGGAAATTTCTATGTTGAAGCAACAATTAGATTTAAAAAATACAAGTAAAAAAAAATTTTTTTCACTCATTTCTGTTTTTTTGCGTGTTGCACCATTCATTCCATTGGCATCCTTTTACAGCGACACACAAATCACCATTGAAACAACCATGTCTTAGTTACACCTATGAAGCTGCAGAGACAAATTGTAAGCGTATTGAACTAATGCCAGCTAAAGACTAGTGCCATAATCAAAAAAGGAAAAAGTATGGTTGCAAAAGGTAATTGCAACCACTTTTTATATGCTGTAAATACAATTACTACCATCCTCATAATTTACGGCACTAGTCTTTAATGCCAACACCTTCAAATTTTTGTAAAGGCTCAACATGAGAAAATTCTACATTTAAAGATCTTATATTGAATTACCGACCATCTTGGCCAAACATTCCAGTTACGTTACATCAACCTGTGTTTACTAGCTCTTGGTAATAATAATGATAATGGTAACAATACAATAAAAAGAAAAAGTAAATTTTTTTTTTAAATTAATTTAATTTAATTAACCAGTGTAAAAAATTGGAGGGGCGGAAGGGCGGGAGCTAACCAAATTTGGTAATTATCAGCATATTTTTGCAAATAATTACCAAATTTGGTTAGCTCCCGCCCCTTCCGCCCCTCCAATTTTTTACACTGTAATTAACAATTTATTTAATTATGAATTAATTTTCAATTTACAAAAATTTTTTTTTTTGATGATATACAGTGACTTCCATAATTATTGCACCACTTGATTTAAAATTATTAAACAGGAATATCTCATTAACTATAGATAATCAATTCATGTATTTAGGCTCATTTAAAATACATTAGTTTTAACTATATTATAATCAAACTTTATTGTAGTTCAATTTGCATTTTTTATGAGCTTATGTGTGCGGAATGTTCACGAATTATCTGCACCATACAAAGGAGGAAGATGATAGCATGAAATTATGGCATGAAACAAACGATGGAATGTTTTGGGCACTTAAAGGCCATAGGGTAGAAAATAGCCAGTTTGGAATTGTTGGGGTACAAGTTGCAGGTTGTAAATTACATTTGAATGTTCTTATCAGAGATTCGGTTGAGGTGCATCATTATTATAATTTGCGGGAATCTGAAATACCGATTAGATATTCAAACAATCCTTCTATTCTAGAGGAATTCATAAATACTTTGCTAATTTTATGGAATATCTTAATAGTTAATATGTCCTTATTATGTACTACACGTCCATGTAGATCAAGTAGAAATTTAGAAGATAGTTTGACTATATCATCTGATATTGAATAAATATATATAGTTTTTTTCAACGGGTATATAAAAAAAAAAGATGCTAATTAATTATTACGCATATCTGACAATTTCCCGCTACATGTTGAGAATATCCAAATCAAGATTATTTACCTCTAAATACCTGCATAGTTCTACATAATCAAAAGTCGCTTTCGTATCTTGCATATTCTTATTTATTATAGTTATGTGATCTTCATCTTTTCTTTGCATGTACTTATCCCAGTTTAAAAATTGCATATACTGCGTAGGATTATTGGTAAATCTACCTTCAGTTTTTCGTCTGTTATTCTTAGATTTTCGAGACATATTTGATATATCTATATTAATATGGATAAATGACTTCAATTTTTATCTTCCATAAATGTATCAATGGTCAAGGAAATAAAAAATATATTATATATAAATGGTTTACCATGGGTTTTTTTCAGATTCTACCATATTACATAATACATTTTTTTTCATTTCGTGCATATAGTATAAAAACATTAGATTCGATTTTTGATTCTGCCCACTCCTATTGTGATAGTCACCATGATCACTGGCATCAAGGAGAAAGCTGTAAAATAAAATGGTTTGGATTTTGTTTGGTATGTTATAAATTAATCATTTCCCCAGATTTTCTGCATCTCTTTAATTTTTATTTGACCAACCGAATTTGTTTTTCAAATGGGGGTAGGGTTGTTGGTGAGTAGGCATGCCACTGACATGACAGGAGATGCCTTTGAGATATACCAGCCAAACTCATAGAAGGGGATCTTTTGTTCAGACTTAGGGTCACATGGATGTTAAGCACAGAAATGTACACTATCAATGTATATTTTTTTCAACAAATAAACATTTAAATAATTAATTGTTAAATATTAATACTTTCTTTTCATAAAAATTACAGCAACCCAGGACTCAAAACTCTGAATTCAGGGAAAATCCAAAACAGCAACCCAGGTTGCAACCTTCTGAGTTGCAGAATTTTCAACCAGTTGCAGGTGCCAACTTTTATGCTAGTGTGACAATAACATGCAAGCAATCATCACACAAATGCCAGCTATCAGTGATCAATGCCCATATGGTGACAACTGAAGATAGGGACGACCAGAAAGATGAAATATTACCAATAGTTAGATTTACTGAAAATAGAAAATTGGTTGTTTGTGAAGCTGAGTGGAGACTAGAAACTGTTGATAATGTTGTATCGGCAAGTAGACAACAAGTAGGTATTTTTGTATTTATATGTGTATAATTTTTTTTGTAATATATATATGTATGTATTTATTATATATTTGATGTAATATTATATTCCCCTTGTATTTTCTTGGGCAATTAGTATTCATAAAAGCCAGGGCCAAACACTGGAAAGGGTCAAAATTGATTTGAAAGAGGTTTTTGAAAAAGGTATTTATATATGTATTCATAATAATGATAATATAACTATTATTATAAATAAATAAAAAAAATTTTTTTTTTGTAAATAGGACAAGCATACGTTGCTTTGTCTCAAGCTAAATCATTGGAATCTTTACGGGTTTTAAACTTCACAAGAGAAAAGATAATGGTTCATGAAAAAGCAAAGAGATTTTATGAGTCATTAACAGATTAACGAATTGAATATTAAATATTTATTTACTTAAAATTTCATTTATATTATTATTGAATTTTTTTTATTAGCAAATTAGTAATTTTTTATTTTTTTTTTTTTAATGTATATATTAAAACTATTATTTGACAATTAAAAATATTCTTTTACACAAAAACAAAAGATTATTATTATTATTATTTTAACGATGCAGTTATTATACAAATATTTGATTCTATTTAACATGTACCCCCGTAATAATTTATATTTGTTTAGGTCGACTGTTCATCGCCTGTTCCTTCCAATTAGTCTGATTATTGATTTCAATATTCAGTTTAAGCTTCGCACTAATTTTCTTTAGGAACAAACTGACAAAATGTCGGTACTACTACTACCACTACAAAAGTCTCTCCAGTTGTTACCATATTTTATACCATTCAATATCCAACTACACCATAATTCTCCACCATTATTATTGTTATTATTATAATTATTTTTATGGTATTGTTATTATTGTTGTCCTTGTTACTGTATTTATTCTTTTTAATTTTATTATCTTTTTCTTCTACAAAAGATTATTATTGTTATTATTACAGTATATTAATAATATCATGTGACACAATAATAATTCACAAATGCCAAGGTTGACTATGTAGTTGTGTACTTTATTATGTTAATTCTAAAATAAAAATCTGTTTACTGTTTAGAAATAAATAAATAATAATAACCACTCTTAATTAAATTCAATTAAAACTTTGAATATATTTGTAAAACTAAAGCTAATATACACATATATAAGAACGGTTGATGTTTTTTATGCAAGATATTGATATTTCCTTATTTGTGTTTCTTTGGCCAAGTTTGACAAGGTTTTTTATAACAAACTGAACACAGATTTTCCATCCAAACTTAACTTAACGTTAAATTAATTTTATTCCGTGTACACATAATTTATGATATAACGTTACACTCCTCTTGCTGAACTGACGAAAATAAGCGTGGCGAAATAGGATTTCTACACTTTAAGGAATTTGAAGAATGTGACGAAAATGACGAAAATGACAAATCAAGAATAAAATAAATCGATGTCAAATTCTAATTCATCGATTCCTTTTCAATTGTCGTGAATTATAGCCACGACAATTAGCAGTTAAATTATTCCACATAATGGTGGATTTTTTCATAACGAGATTTATTTATATTATAAACATTCTTAATGTTCATTGAACACAATTAAGAGAAAGTTCACTGTAACGAGCAGAATTTATTATACACCGAATCTACGGGCACACAGGAAAGCCGTATTTACTTATCGCAAAACTTTAAAATTATAATGCAACCACATGACAATGTCTAATTTGACTTTTTTAGCAACTTGAAGTATTTACATTCCTCCGAGTAAAACAGTAAAAAAAAAAAAAACAAAATCTATTTACCAAGTTAGCCTCTCTCTATTCAAAGACGATATGTTGATATCACATAACATATAATTTAAAACAATGGTTTCGTTTTATATATATATATATTTATTTTTTTTTGAGAACTAAAAAAATTCTTTAAATTAAAAATGGATTTCAAAACCGGCCAAGAATTCAATTATGTGTACTAACACGTAACACTCAATTAATTATTTAGTGTACAAATAAATAAATAATTTTATTTTTTTATTAATATTAAATGATTTTACATTGCTATTTTTTTCAAAAAAATTATTCTTTCTTCCACCAAAGAAAATCAATGTCGCGAATCGTCCTATCACCAAATAGGAAAGTCTTTGTACTCAAAACCTACAACGAAATGTATGGTTATATATTCTCAAGCATACCATCCAGAGATGCACGAAAAGGTGCATTTATCTCACTAATATCTAAATGCACAGAGCTCACCGAAGATGAGAAAGCATATTGTAAAGAAAAATTCATCCAAAACTTTGAATCAAACAATGCACTCTATAAATGTGGTAGACCATTCACATGTAAAAAATGTAACTTCATCAGGTATTCGGAGAGGTATTGTGAGATGTGCATTAGGAACCATCTGGAAAGTTTGTTTGACAGTTGGACCTCTGGTAATGAGGAAGTAGACAAATTTATACAAAATTGTCAATTGATTTCTTCTTTACCAAGAAATATCATGGAATGGATCCCTTATGATCAGTTTGAAGATGTCGAATATATGACAGAAGGTGGATTCAGTGTGATTTATACAGCCACCTGGACACATGGGTGTATTGAAGATTGGGATGAAGAGAAAAATGAATTCATTTATTTTCGTAATCAAAAAGTAATCTTAAAGTGTTTGCTTAATACAGAACATCCAAGTAAAAAGTTTTTTGAAGAGGTAATAAATAAATATTATCATGTTAACAATATGCAGTGTGTAACAAAAATAATCGGAAAGCAATGATTTTTTCTTTGTTTTCTAGTATATGTATTAAATTATATATAAAATGGTTCATTAACATGAATATAATTTTTAAAAGCAATAATTTTAAGCTAGAAAGAAACTAACATGATTTCCTTTAAAAGTGTTCTTTGGTTATTCAACAATATTCGTATTCAACCAACAAAATTTTTTGGAATTTTGTTAAATAAGGTATGGAGTAATAGATGCTAAAAAATCCTTGCGAATTAAAATGGTTATACTATGTAATTTAATTTTTAATGAACCAAAAAATTAACTTTGTAACTTAACATTGAAGGCAATCAAAAAAAATTTTTTTTTTCATATAAAATTAATATCAATAAAACCTTCGATTCCTGGCTTTTATCATTTTCATGCAACCATTTTTAAGAAACAAAAAAAACGGCTTTTTTGTTACACACTGTATTGTAATCAATTTATTATAACTTATTTTCTTGTGTTTAATTTTTTTTTATTAGGCAATGAATTATAGTAAACTTCAATCAGAAATGATTGCCGAGTGTTATGGCATAACAAGGTGTTCAAAATCAGGAAATTACATGATGGTCATAAATTATCTTTTAGATGGAAATCTACGAGACTATTTAGAAAAGAACCATCTCAGCTTGACATTAAAAGATCGAATCACCATTTTCTACAACTTGATAGATTCGCTGGATGATATTCATGAGAAAGACTTAGTCCACTGTGATCTACACAGTGGAAATATATTGATGCAACAATCAGGTGCCTGTTACATTACTGACCTTGGCCTGTGTGGACCAACTAATGAGGAGACACACAATGGTATCTATGGAATAATGCCATATATTGCACCAGAAATATTAAATGGCAAACCAAAAAACAAAGAGTCAGACATATATGCTATTGGGATGTTAATGTGGGAGATATTTTCTGGACATCCACCATTTGATGATAGAGCACATGATATTGATCTGGTCATGGATATATGTCGTGGGCATAGACCACCCCCTTTGCCACAGATGCCAGAAAGTTATGTTGAATTGATGCAACGATGTTGGTGCCAGAATCCTATTGAACGGCCAAATATTAAACAGCTTCTGATAGAAGGTAAAGAGATATTCAAGTGTGTTTATGAAAGTGAGGAATTGTTGAATGTAAGTTTTAGAAGTGGTAATGGGTATGATAGTAGTCCAAGTAGTGATGTAAGTAGTGATGAGGGAGGTGATGATAATGATAAAATAGTTAAAAAATTTTTTAAAAAATTCTTCAAGAAAGTTCCTAAAAGGAAAAAGTCCTCAACTAGTATTAATAGTATTAAAAGTAATAGTAGTAACAAAAGTAGCAATTGCAGTATTTATAGTAATAATAGTAATGACGGTGACGGTAAATTCAGTAGTAAATATAGCAGTAATACCAGTTACAATAGTAGTGGTAGTAGTCGAAGCACACAACAAAAATATGTATCACATAAACTTGCACTTCATAAAAGCACGAGATTAAACAAACATATTCCTGAGAATGTGAGTGATTTTACTTTGCAATATAATTTTGAGATCAGAACAAGTCTTGAAGAACATGTTAGGCAACTTCATCCTGGTAAGAATACCAATGAAAATAAGATTGTCTTGGAAGAATATCAAGGTATCTATTGATTATTATTTTTTTTTTTAAATAAAAAATATATATCAAATATCAAATTAATTACAAATTTCTATATATTATTAAAAAAAAAGACAGCAAAATACGCATAGAAATAACTAGTGAACTTGACAATGCCTTTAAGTTGTAAATATGTACATTATTTTCTTAGAAATTATTTAATTATTATATATAATCCTATTCAGAGTTGGCAAATTCATGCTCATTTCAAAAAATTATGTTATTTAATATTTGAGCAATGGAAACAATGGAGTAATTTGGAGCTTCATTGCTTCAGTGCTACCAATCCTGAAACCTATTAATTGTCATTATCAATCATATAACCAAATTTTAAATAAATTATATATATTACCAAATTTTATCTCTTAGTATTAGTATAGTAATAGTATACCATGGGTTTCGATTTAACTACTGGAAAATTTATCAATTATTATTAAGCTGAGCTTTTTGGATTTATAATAAAATCCATTAGACACTAAAACTAAATAATGATGACTCATAAATCCATCAACCCGATATTCTCTTTTTAATTTTGATGCATTTACAGTTCTTAAATTTTTTAAGGTTTCTGGGAAATACTTTGGGCAAAAATTAATTTTTTATAGCCCAAACTATTTTTATTAATAGCCAAAATCAACAAATTTATTCAAGTTAAAATAGGTTGATTTATATGTACATATAGACTTTTCATGTTCATTCTTATAAAAAATATTGAAAAGCCCAAACTATTGCCAAAGTTACTTTCTTTTCAAAAATAGTTTGAGCCAGAAATCTTAGTTCAAGTGCGTTTCCAAACCATTTATAGCTTCTCTATATACAAAACCTTTTAAAGTCAGAAGCTTTTATTACTTATAGTAATAATTGGCCAGCTTCAAAATACTAAACAAAAAATTTTTATATGACTCAAGCTTCAAAACTTATTGGCTCGTTTTTTCTTGAACTAAAACTTGCTGATCCTTAGTATCCACATATTAAGTATCAATTAGTATCAGTGTCCATAATATGGAGTCATTGTTGGAAGGAAATAATAACATAATATTTTAAATTTCTACTTTAAATTTTACTAAATAAATATTTGAGTTTCTGGCTATCTTTTGGAAAAGAAATTTTGATTTAATACAACATTTATATGTAAATTTTTATGTAGAACATTTCTGGCTTATAAACCATATCCACTTTGTATAATAAAAATTTGAGTTATTTTCAAAACACGCATGCAAGTCAAGGACAGGCAGCTTTTATTATGTAGCAAATGGAAATAATAATGATGAAAATTCAAAGTTCTGAAGAAATTAATTATGGCGGTGAAAAAATTAGTAATATTAATAGAAGGGAGGGTTGAAAATAACATTGATTTATATGAAAGTAATGATGAAAGTTCAGATGATGATGGTGATATTGAAATAAATGAAGATAAAAGAAAAAAATACCAAAGAAAAAATTTACATTAAGGAAGAGGATTAAAAAAAATTATAAAGATTAAAAAGTTTAAAAAATAAAAAACAATAGCAGTAAAAGTTTAAAAAAATAATAAAATAATAGCAATTAAATTACAGTCAGACTCCTATACAATCACAACATCAGGAATGCGAATTAGTGGTGATTATAACTGAATGTGACTATATAGGATTTCTCCTATATAATCACTTACTATATAATTTTAAAAATTTGGTCTTGTCTACAACAAAAAGTATTATGATGGGTTGTAGATGAAGCATCTAGCCATTTTTCTTTACTGATGACCTATCAATATTCAATGAAATTTTCCACTAAAATAATTTGCAATTTTTTGATGAGTTTTCTGAATGTTTTCTTGGTAATATATACAAATTTCTCTTTTCAATTGCTCACTAATAGCTGTCCATTTTTGTTTTTTTTTTTTGGTTGAGACATGATAATGATGATGACAGTAATGATAATGACAACAATAATGGTAATGATAATGGTAATGGTAATTACAATGTCCAATGGTAACAATTTATTAAAATTCAAAAATTTTCAATTAGCCAATAATATTTACAGTCACATGAATTGGTGATTATATATGATGAAATTTATATGTTGTAATATGTTATGGAACTGTCAAATATTGGTGATAGTGATTACAATATGAAAGTGACTATATATGATTAAATTTTAATATAAAAAAAATCGGGAATAAAAAATATGTGACTATATAGGAGTTGTGACTATATTAGATGTGACTATATAGAAGTCTGACTGTAGAATAAATTTTTAAAATTTTAAATTCATCTAAAAAAATTCTTGAAATAAAATCAACTGATAATTTTGACATAAAAAATAGTGTAAAATAGTTCAGAAAATAAAAATAATTTGTGTTTTGGTATAAAATTAGTTTCAGTAAGAGTTTTGGTAAGAATTTAGGTTTCGGTTAGTGTTTTGGTTTTGGTGATTTTTTGTGTTTTGGTATAAAATTAGTTTCAGTATGGGCTTTGGTAAGAGTTTAGGTTTCAGGTAAGGGTTTAGAATTTTAAAAACTCCCTAAACTAATTTAGGGAGGTTCTGGTTTCGGGTTTTCCCTAAAATCAGAGTTTAGGGTCACACTATACTTGCAATACACCATTTAACAAGAATTAAAAGCTATAAAAAAGGAAATACTCTATAGTTGGCTTGGTCTAAAGACCTCCTAAATTTTGGGCAAATTTTAAAAGTATAGAAGTCATTTTCTGTCCTACCTTTTAAAAAAATTGCTCTATTAGTTGATAGAATATGTCTTTAGTTTTAATTTAATAACGAGATATTCTCAAAAAAATTAATTATTTGTTGTAGAGTTCTATTCTTTTTTAGAACATGTACTTTACTATGCTCGCGAGGAATTTAAGCTCTACGATCATTACTAAATTGGGAAAGATCGTCTATAATCATTTCCATAAAAGAAAATGATCAGTAACACAGGATTCAAAACATCCTTCGTGAATTGATTTTACAATATAAATAAAGACATATACATATTTATATGATTTATCAGATAATTAGATAATATAAGCATATGACATCAGTCGTCACCATCATATTGATGGTGTTGATACTCTTCCGCATAAAAATTTTCTATTTTGAATGATAAAACACAAAAATCGTAATTGGTAGTTGACTATTGTTCAAAAAAAAGTTTAGTCGATTCCAACCTCTATAAAATAAATCTGTCGCCTTCTGTCCATTAATGATATATTTATTATTTATTTATTAATTCAGAAACATTAACTTAATATTAAGCAAGCTATACATTTAAACAATATACATGAATTGATTTATGAAATAATTAAATTCAGAGATGATGATAATTAATCATTTTTAATCATTTTTTTAATCTTAATTTATTAATTTAATCCATATTGCATCTATTTTCGTAATACCTTTTATTTTTATTTTCATTTTATTAATTATTTGTATAACGTTGTAATTTATTTAACTTATTTAAGAATCATCTTGGGATATCCAAATAAATAAAATAATAAATATTTGATTTTAAAACTTTTATCTTCTTTAAACAAAATTATCCGCTATCCAAAATCAATTCATTGATAACCTATTCATTCTGATCCACGCAAAACAAAAATAATTGTTATCACCCATTAAAACACACTCTCTGTAAACGTTTAAATAATTATCACTTAATTATTTAAACAATGTTAATGAACAGGTAATTTAATTGTTGTTAAATTAAAAGTTATCTTT